CGATTCTATATGTGAAGATGTAAAGTTTAGTCGATATTTAAAGAAAGAATAAGAAAAATGATAGATCAAATCAAGAATATGATAACTCTGATTTGAATTAAGTGACTCAAAAGTCAAGAACTACATAATCGGTCTGTTATTGAATAACACGTTTCGAACTCGAACAAAAATAATTCAGGACTCAAGAATACTCCAAATATTAAAATGATTGTCAAAATTTGTAATTGAATTGAATTAAGATAGCCGCCAGATACACATATTACTTTTGTTGCATATTGAGTAGCCCTTGCACAATTTTGTTATCTGTCCTGTCCTGTTTCTTAATGTTTTCCTTCTTCACTGTAATTAAGTCTTCTGTTATTGAGTAACGTATTTCGAAATCCTCGAATGCATATGTGTAATGATTGTATACAATAAGTGAGGTCATATGATGGCATAAAATTTTCACCGGAAACACAATTCTTCAAAGTAAGCACAAGGAACTTGATATTCGGCTGGTCAATTTTACATTGTTACTGACATTAAGAGAAATAATCAATAAATATCCTTGAAATTTAATATTTTAGCTCTGATTGTTACCGAAATTAACTGGCAAATTTTCGAGGGAAATTGAATGGCACCAAGCGAAACTCTACTAAGAGCCAAATTTACATTTTTCTAGGTATATGTTAACTAACAGCATACTGATTTCCTTAAAATTGGAAAAAAGTATTTTCAAAACATTTTCAAAATATTCTGTAAAACTTTTGATAAACTATAGATAATATACATTGCAGTTCCTTATATGCTGGTCACATCAAATTTTTTATATTAAGAAACCGGATTTTTCATATTTCTTAATTAAATTTGTTCCCAAATTCGTCTCTTATTGTAATTTATAAACTCTTCGATCTTCAGTCAATGATAGTCCATAATTGTGTACTATACTATTTCTATTATAAACTCATACTTTCCTATTCCGTATGTGTTACCGTTTTAGTAAAATTGTTGTAAACTTTAATAAATTTCCTCCTTCTTATAACATGGATCTTTTATAGAAAATATAAATATAGATTTTGTTCTACACTTATATCCTAAATTATAGAAAAGAAACGTGTTAAATTTCTTTTGAATATAGAAAAATTAATAATAATTATAAACCTCAATGAAATTTTTCTTTTATTTTTCATAACACATTGGTCTCATTGCATACAAAATGAATATTTCAATATATATGTAAATGCATATTATGTGTAAGTATGTGTTTAATATTGTACTTATCAATTATCCTTAATTCCTTGTACTTTATTTTTATTCATTTCTATATTATTTTAACTTTTGTTTTTTTTTTAATATGTTCAAATTCTGCAAGACATCTTATTATAAGTTACTGACAATTTTCCATAATATATATGTACATATTATAGGTACTTTAAAGTATTGTAAGTCGCTATCATTATCACGTTATTATCTAGTAATTTTCTTATAAAAATTACATAAAATCAATGCGATTTTAAGTTTATGATAAAAACACTTCTGTGATATTTAAGTGGAAAAATATAATGTATAGTTATGTATGTGAAAATAATATTATAAGTTAGTATTAATAATTTTTCTTATAAATTTAAAGTCATGATTTTTCATAAATTGTTTACAATAAGAAAAGGTGAAAACTATTTATATTGAAAATTAGATTCTTATGTACAAATCTAAATATACTTATATATACAAATATAATCCTTAAATTTTAAAAGCTACACTTGCAATACGAAATCAAGTACTCGTATATAAAAAAAATATTTTGTCTTGTAAAATTTTACCAAAAGTAGTTGAATTTGAATGTCGATTCTGTTAAGGACTCAAGTAAGTAAACAAAATAATGACTTTGTGAGTAAAAGTATTAAACAAATGAATAAACTTAATTCGATTTCAAATAATTTCAACTGCAACTTAATTAACTATATTCCATATATTGACATTTCGAATTTCGACTGTAACTTTTATAATAAAATTTGATTATTTACCGAATAACCAATTTACTTAAATTTAAAAATTTGCAGGCATTATAGGAAACTGTATCATTATTTATTTTGATGTACGAGGAATGTACGGACAGTTGGATAAGAAAGCAAAAAAGATAAACCGTGTGCATTGTATGAAAACTGGAAAAAATTTTCTTTCTGACAAAAGTATTACAGCAATTCCACTACTAACACTTTGTTTTAAATGGTAATGATTTATTTACTAAAATAGTTACTGTGAAATTCAAGCATTACCGGACGGACAACGGTTGAATTCGCGTTTGCAGTTTTAACAAAAATCTGCAATGGCAACACATTTTTGTAGTTTGCTGCAAAAAGCATTCCGTTTTTATTGGTAGAACTGCAAAAGATCTTGTATCAAATCAATAGCATAAAATTTTTTTCTTGCTTTTATGTTCATAATCTCATATTAGTAGATAACTTATTTTTGAAAGAGCAGAAACATTATTGAGATTACACCAGAATTTTTGTTGGCATCGCTACTTTAGTAATTCTATTGCAGTGCGCTTTCAACTAATAAGATCACTTGCAGTCAGAATTAAAAACGCGAATTCTATCAATTATTATACGACCTCATATAACTGCAATCAAATTTCAATGGTAGGCCGAATTTTCGTCCTATTACTGAACTCGTTTTTTCAATATTTGATATGGCAGCTATACGAGCCACTTCTTGTAAATCAAAAAATTCCAAATATAAATTAGAGTTTCTTCTCTTTATAGAAACTTCTTCAAGATCTCTCTTCAAATAAAATGAATAAAATTAAAGTAAAATAAAATATTCATATTTTAATAGTGTATACGATTCAAATAAATTTTGATTTTAAAATTCAACAGATAAATTATAGAAATATGAGTTGAAAAGCAAAACAATTGGCCAGAGTTGTTTTCAACACTTTTGTAATTCTTAAAAATACACTTTGTAAATAAATTTTTTTATACTTAATATACGTCCACATAAATTCATATATATATATATATATATATATATCTAGTATATGTACATTTAAGTAGAAAATAACCATTAATTTCACGTTCATAAAGTTAAAGAATAAAATTCTATCATAATACAAACAAAAGAAGAAAAAAAAAAAATTATACTTACCTACATCTTTTCTGGCCATTGGTTTTATTATGATTTTAAGATCTAATCTTTATCTTTATATTAAAACTATTTTTATTTTTTCATTTTTTTTCTCCGTTAATATTCTTCTTCTATATAACAATGGTATTTTTCTTCCTTTTTATTATAATATAAAACTCGCTTGTTATGCAATAATAAATAGCGCCTGAGATTTTACAAATTATGGTTATTTAAATAAACAGCACACGATTTTCATCAAAATTATACCCCACCAAAATTAACTAAGAGAATAAAAGAAAGAATTATAAAATATAGTGAAAATAGAAAATAAAAATTTTAAAAGCTAAAATTGCAAAACTATAGAATCTCAGAAGAAAAACAAAAAAATAAATTTCCTCATCTTCATAAGATTCCTTACGAGATTTGTTGTAAATTTTCATAAATTTTACAACAAATCTCGTAATTTACACTTATTATTTTGGTAACATCAAAATAATAAGATTTTGTGTTCATTTTAAAAAATGCTTTTTAAAATTAAAATTTTGATTTGGAAATCGTTTTCGGAAACCAAGGATAAAATAAGTTCAAACATGCTAAGTTTGAAATTTCAGAACTAAAATTTATTTTATTAATTATTGATAATGATAGAAAATTTTACTTGTAAAACATGTCCAATCGTACATAAACTGTCTTAACTGCAGCGCAGCCTAAGCCAATTTAGTTTTTTAGTTAACCAAAATAGCTTCTTTCATCTTTTTATTATTATTTGACAGAAGCTCCTATTATTCTTAATCAAATTATACCCCATATGTTGGAGCGAATTAACGACTGAGCTGAATGTTTTTAAAAATTTTGAACAGCATGTCATAACTGCGTGTGAGCAATGCACTAGATTCTGTTGAAATTCTTTTAAAAATTTCAGAATATATTAGCTTTTTACTTTTTATTGTACAAAAAGGTAGATTACTAACAAATTAAGTTCTTGCTTGTGTTTTTACAATTTGATGGAATATTTTATGACATTTTTAAAGAAAACTTTTGTAGCAATATAAAACAAAATCTTAAAGAAGCTGCATGAATGATAACATTTATAGATTGCAAAATAACAACAAAGAATAAATGTAAAATCTTATATTTTTTACCTGATCATTTAAATTTGCCTTACAATATTAGGTTGCCAGAATTATTTATATTGCTCAGGCTTTATATAGTGCAATTTCTACTTTCTTTATGCCTATTAAAATTAGAATACTTCTATTGCATAAATTGCTTCTAAGTCATCTTTTCACATTCTCCAGAATAAATTTTTTGACCTAAAACTGAAAAATTTTAAAGTTCTTTTTAATAACAAGTTAAAATTTATGTACAATTTTTTAACTTATGTTTTTTTGGTACTTTAAGAACGCCAATCTCAAAAATGTTTGAATAGAAAATTTTTTTCCTATTGCAACCAAGCACAGTGTATGAAAAAATTTCTTTTTTACAGTTTTTGGTTTTTTAGTATAAAAATCGGAAACTTCACATTAATTTTAAAAAAAAAATATTTTAACTGTGGAAAAATGTTTATTTATATGAAATACCATTATATTGAATTTTCATCCTTTTTTAATAGTAAATTATTGTTATTCCTGTTTCAGAAACATTAAATAACAAAATAACAGGAAGAAAACAAAACAATAGTAACGGTTAACGTAGAAAAAATTAAATTTATTTTAATACATAAATAATATAATATCTTATATTATTTGTGCGCAATCTATGATAAAATACTTTTAACTAAAACACGAAACTTCATGCACTCAATTTGAAATATTTTTAAACTCTCCACTTTTGACAATCAAATATTGTGTAGAATTATAAAATAAACGCAAAGAAAAAAAACGTCAAACTATTAAAGCTGTTGGAAAAGGAAAAAAAAAGAGGAATGAAAAACCAGAAATCAGTCGCGTAATAAGTAAAGTGAAAAGGTTTTTTTTTTTGTGTAATTTATATAGAAAGTTAATTATTGAAAGTTATCAAAATATTAATTTAAATTTATTAAAAAGTGAGTTAAATAAAAATATACTATATTTTATTATTTTTAGATTTCTATATAAAATATATGACTCAATTAACATGGAAACTAATTTAATTAAGATAAACAAAAATAAGTAAAAATTGAAATAGGCAGCAGCAAAAAAGAAAAAAAAACAGCAGCTCTTTGTTCCACTTTGTCATTTTTATGATTTCAATACGAATGAATTTTTGTGACTGTGTAATAAGAAAAAGATTGTCGAAGAAACCTTCGAATTTATCATAAATTACGTTGTTTCCTGAAAATTCTTATTTCTAGCACTTTTTTATATGCAAAATTAATAAAAAAATGTTTATAATATAAATTTTTAATTACGTATATTCATTTGATTACGTCAGATAAAAAAAAAAAATTATTTTTCAAAAAAATTTGTAAATTTTGCAACAAAAAATGAAGAAAAAAATTTTTTTCTTATTTTAAAATTTAATTTCATAATAAAATTAATTTTATTCCATGTACAATTTCAATCGAATAAAAAATTACAAGGAAACACTCAAGTAAAATTCAGATTAAGAAAAAAATGTTTTAGAAAATTAATTGAGGGGAATAACTGTTATTAGTTCAGTTTTTTTTTTTTTTTATTATAAAAATTTACGCTTATAATTCTTTAAACAACTATGTTTCCTATCATGCGACAATGATGAAGCGAAATATGAGATGTTTTTGTGCATTTAACATCAAAAGTTTCATTAACAATATTATTATTGTACGAGTACTAGTAGCTACCTAGAGATTTAATAAGTATGACATTAAAGAGACAACAAAAGGAAAATCTACATATCTACATACATATTGTGCACTAACATATTATCGTGATTATAAAAAATATTCATGACTCATTATGGTTTTTTATTTAAGCTTGATTTAAAATATACGGGCATCTAATTCATATTTCTTATCACCATATTATAATTTTAATATAATGAAGATAAAAAGAGTCATAAACATAAAATATTTTATTAATCTTTTCATTTTCCTTTTTCATTATATTTAATTCAACCCCAATTCCAAGTAAATATTATTGGATGTGTATAGTAGTTCTGTAGGTACGTAGATATATAGTTGCTCATCAATAAAAAAAAATAATTTGTGATTCAATTATTCATTATAAATTTTTAAAAAATGTTAAGCTTTCAAATAAAATCAAATAACCAGTTTCTAATGAGGTTGAATTACGTTTTGAATTAAAAATAACAAAAAAAAATCAAAGTACGACTAATCATATGAAATTTAAACAATTGAAATGTACCTTGGTACCTACATCGGTGTAAATCTTTAAGAAAAATGTAATTATGTATGTATGTATATGAATATGTTGGAATTATTTGCTTAAAATTAATTTATTATTAAATCAAAGAGTTATCAATCGTGGTTTACCTTGATAAATCTGAATTTATCTGGTTAATAGATTTTTTGTATAAAAATCTTTTTTGGTAAAATTAATTATCTCGATGTACCCACCTACCCACAATACAAACCTTAATTAAATTGAATCCAAAAACAAATTAGATATTATAAACAATTTCATTCAAGTAAAATATAAATTATTAATTTTAAGGAGGAAACGAAAATAACAATGGCAACTAGAAAGAAATCTCTTTTGAAAGTTATTATCCTTGGCGATAGTAGTGTTGGTAAAACATCGTTAATGAATCAATATGTTAGCAAACGTTTTACAAATTCATATAAGGCAACAATTGGAGCTGACTTTTGTACAAAAGAAGTTGTTGTGGATGATCGTGTCGTAACAATGCAGGTATATATCAAATTTTTTTACATGACAAAAAACATTTAAAAATAAATAACTGTATAGTTATGTAGTTATAAATAAATTTTGATAAAAAATCTGGAAACGATTCTATTTTTCTTTTTTAAGATTTGGGATACCGCCGGCCAAGAACGTTTTCAATCTTTGGGTGTAGCATTTTATCGAGGAGCTGATTGTTGTGTTTTAGTTTATGATGTTACAGCTCCAAATTCATTTAAGAATCTTGATTCTTGGAGAGAAGAATTTTTAATACAAGCCGGTCCAAAAGATGCTGATCATTTTCCATTTGCTGTTTTGGGCAATAAAGTTGATTTGGAAAATCGGCAGGTAAACAATTTTTTATTTTGCCATCCCATATTTTGATATTACTAATAAAAATATATTTATATATTAAGGTTTCAACAAGAAGAGCTCAACAATGGTGTCAATCTAAAAATGATATTCCTTATTTTGAAACTTCAGCTAAGGATGGTCTTAATGTCGAATTAGCATTTCAAACAATTGCGAAAAATGCATTAGCTCAAGAAGCAGATGTATGTTAATTGGCACAAAATAACTTTACTTTTACTTTAAATATTTTCTTTTTTTTTAGGTTGAATTATACAATGAATTTCCTGATCAAATTAGACTTAATTCTGACCGTAATAATCGACCCAGAAATAATGAAAATTGTCAATGCTAATAAATTACTACTAACTCTATATCTTAAAAAAAATATGTTTATATACAAAAGAAAAATTAAAAAAAAAAGTAATTTTAAATTGTAATATTAAAATAATTAAAACTTTATAAATAAATTTAAAATTAAAAAAAAAAAAATTATATATTTAAAAAAAAAAATTAAAATAGGAAAAAAAATTAAAAAAAAAAAACTATGTGAATTCAAGTTATTCATAAAAAAGGAAAAGCAAAATATTCATTAAAGTGAAATAAAAACTCTAATTTTATTATAATTACAAAAAATATATTATATACATACATAAATATAAATACTAGTTAATTAAGAATGAATTAAAATCAACCGATTTTGTTTTTTTTTTTTAATTTAAAAGAATTAAAACATTTTTTCTTTGGTAAAGTTCAAGATTTTTTTTTATTTTCCATACATATAAAAAATATTTCTTTCATTGCTGTTATATAATTTAGAAATATCTAAATCAATAAACAAAATATTTTTGGTGCTTCTTCTTTAACAAAAAATAATTATTATGAAAATTTCATCAAAATGGTACTAATCTCAAAGACAAAGAATTTAGCATAAGGTGAATATAGGTGTAATCGATAATGTCAAATGTCGGTCAACAAGAATTAAATCTGACGATCACCAACTACTAATTTATTAATAATTCGTATACAACTTTTGCATGCAACCAGTTGACAACTGCTTCAGCGATAAATTATTTTTAATTTGAATATTTCTAAAACTGAATTCGATTTTTGTACTAAATTACTTGAAAATCCTCTTCAAAATTTTCCATTTCGCACAGAAAACAAAATCAGCAGTTAAAATTTTTTATTACAAAAATGCGAAAAAATTTAACGTTATGACTGACAATTAAATTGTGGCATTTGTTTTTTGCTTTATCGGTTACATTACAAATGCAGAAATCTGTTGACAAACATTACACAAAAATTTTGCAATACTTTTCTTAACAAAAGCATTGTAACTGCAATCGATTATCTCGATTAAGATGCAAAAAAGAGCTCAACGCGTATTTCACATTATCGATTATAACTTGTAATGCGAAATAATTTGCAAAAAATGTACGTTCGTTTTTTCTTTCTCAATGCCTATGTAAATATATTTTTCCAAAAAAAACGTAAAGCAGAAAAGTAAGAAATTTTTCAATAGTATTTCAATTATAAAACAATATTCATCAAAAACATACATCAAAAAAATCAATTAAATATCTAGAAAAATAATATAGATAAAAACAAATTTTGATCTTGAAACGCTCTGCAAAATTAAATTAAATTTCCATACCGATCGTTCTAATATTACAGTTAATATATGTAGTTAAATAATTCGATTAAGAATATTTTTAATAAATACTTGAGTTACGATAAATTCCTAACATTTTAAAATTTTGCTTATTGAAGTTTATTTTAAATAATAATTTATACTTCAATAATAAATTATGTTTTCTTAAATAAATCATATTTAATGAAAAATTCAAAATAAATTCGCAAAAATTATAAAAAGAAAGTTAAAAATAAATTTTATCTATTTGAAAAAATAATAAATTTCAATTTTCTCTAATCCATATTTAAACTATTCATAATAACACAGTGAATTAAAAACATCTATTGTTAATATAAAATTTTATAAATATAAATGTAAGATTTTATAATATAAAAGTAAAAAATTTCATTCAAAATTAAAGAAACTAAAAAGTTGTATTATTAGATCATTAAAAAATTCTTCACATATACCAAACATTTTGAATCTATAAAAAATTACCATAATCGTTCCTATTTTGCACTTTCTTATCTGTATTAGTTTTACAAAAATTTAAAAAAGACACAATCATTGTACTTTAGTTGCACTTGAAAATACAAATAATCTGGGTTATTAAATAATTAATTTATTGTTTCTTCATAATAATATCTGCAACTTTAAAAAAAAAAAATATACAATAAAAATAAAAGTTACAGCAATTTGTATGAATAATTTTAAGGTGGGAAAAATTAAAAGAATAGAAAAATTACTCACATATTATTATTAATTTTTTTTTTTTTTGCTGTATATATATTTCATAAAAATGAAAAGAAAATTTTAAATAAAAATTTAATCGATTCTAAAAATATTGTTTTAATTAAATAGAAGGTAAATATTTTACTTTTATTTTTATGAACTAAAAGTACAATTTACAATAACTTTGTTAAAGGAATACATAACGAGGAATATATGATAATTATATAGATAAATATTAAAATTAAATAACAAAATTTTAATTCAAGTAATGAAAATTTAATAAAAACACATCGAAATCATTGCTCTCAAACACTTTCGAATGATAAATTGAAATCTGTTTAGGTATGTACTACCTTATCGCAAAACCTAGTGTGAATTCGATTTTGAGAACACCAAATTTACTCTTAGGATAAACATTTGGGATCCATTCTAAAATAAATTGTGATTTTTCATCCTAAAAGTATATGCGATAAAACAAATCGATAAATTGCTAATTAAAATAAGAAATAACTTACACAATTTTCACTATTCTTAAGGCGTATGTAAGCAACATAGCGTTTTGGTTTGATTTGTCTATATTTTTTTAAATTATTCTTATCACAGTTAATATCAACTTCAGGAATGGCTATATTTGCCGTATAAGTCTTACAAATTTTTTCAAATTGTATTGATAAAGTATCGGTGTTAAATATTTGATTTAAAATAAATTTGTTAGAAAAAAGCCACAAATGCCGTATTAGCTTTCTATTTTGAAACTTTATAAAATTAAAATAATCTGGTAAACGTTTTCGGCCCTTAGAGGAAAATCTATCGTGCAATAATATAAAGAAATTCTAAAAAAAAAAATTAAATTATTATATTGATATTATAAAAAAAAAAATACAGAATAATCAAATAATAAATTATATTCACATTAAATTTTTCATTTTTCATAAAATTTTAGTATGAATTAAAATATTATTAAAATATAAATTTACAAGAATGCCCACCTCATGTATATTGAAATGGTGTACAATTTTTGACTTGTTGATTTCAAATTGAATACTTGTGTTAATTTTTTCAATTACAAAATTTAACCAATCACTAAAATTTAAGAAACTACTTGATTTTTCGGTTGGGTCTAAATATTGTGGTAACAAAACGTCAGATTCAAGCATTTTTGGTTCAAATGTCGTCTCATACATTGCATTCATAGTACAAGTTTCTGTATCTACTTTTTTAATAATGTTCATTTTCTCGTTGCATTCATTTGTTAAAATTTCATAAATATTTAAACTTTGAAATATATTACTAGAAGAACCACTTTTATGAAATGATATATTGGATTTCAGTTCCTGAGACTCATTTACTTTTATCTTATCTCTATCAAAAACTTTAATATTTTCCAACCCAGAACAATTTTTTTGTTCGTCACTATTACATTCTTTCTCCACAATACTTTTTTGAAAATTCACAAATTCCTGAAATAATATTAAATACATGGTGAGTGTATGGTCTTACTAATAAAAATAATGTTATTCGTAAAAAAACTTACAATTTGTTGAAATTTATCAATTTCGCATATGCTCCAAAAATTATCAAATAATTTGCAAAAACTATTGAATTCGTACTGCAAGGAATTTGAACTCATAATTCCAGTTAATAAAAATAAAATATGAAAGCAAAAGTGTTCATATTCCTTATTGAATTTAGAAGATCCTTTTAAGTTTTTGCAAGTGCATTGATATCGAGATGCTAATTTATTTAAACTTGTTCCATCAGGCAAAATGACTCTAAAATTAAAATTATATTTATGTATCAAAATGACGTATCTTTGTTAGATTTTTACACATGCAAACGGCCAGCCGGAAATGAAATACTTTTGCAACATTGGACAGCAAACGTATAATTATTTAAACGTTGTAATGGTGGAGCAAAACTTAAATTTGTATTATACATATTCCACAATACATCTTTGTAATTTTGGCTGATTTTTAAATTATCAATTATTTTCCTGTCGATCTCTATTCCTGTAGCTATTTGGTTACAAATTCCTGTACTTTTAACATGTTTGCATATTATTTCAAGATCTCTAACATCATATTTGCAAGTATCTGCAAAACAAATAGCATTTCTACTAATAATAGAAGTATAATCATCTTCTGCCAATAAAGTTGTATCTGTGATTTCTACAAAATTTCTTAATGTTAAATCTCTTTCTTTTACTCGCACACTAAAAATTTTAGTGTCATTATTAGAAATAAGTTCTATGGGGTCAATCCAACCATTTTTCCTCGAAATATTGTCAACAAAAGAAAAACATCCTTTATTTTTGCAACCTAAAAATTTATAAAACTATTAGAATAATGAAAGTTTTAGAATAATCCTTTGGGTACTTTTTGCTCTGAAACCATTATAATATCCGCAAAATTTACACTTCTTAACGCCTCTCATAGTAGGCTTTAATTTAACACTTTTAAAATCCATTTCACTTAAAATTAAAATAGTTTTAGTATAATTTGTAATAAATAACCATCTGTTAACATATACATAGGTAAATAAGTAAACATTAAACAAGTGTCAACGCATCATGTGATTTGGAATTTCTCCAAACTATTTTGAACAATTGTCATCTTCTGTAAATTAGAATTTTAAGTTTTCAAATAAAGTTACAATAGCTGGGTTTTTTGATTGAGACAATTTTGCTTATGGTTAAATGTACTTCAATGGTCATACTGCAAGTGTGAAAAACACTTGCTGCGTTTAAATGACAGCTAATTAGACTCAAAAAGTGTTTTGATGCTTATAGCTTGCTTTCTTATCATCTATCAGTTAAATTGATTTCCAATCGATTATAAAGTTTTAATTTCAAGTTTAAAAGTGTTTTAACTAAAACTTTCATTTCAAAAAACCTTAATCAGTAATGTCAATGAATGGGCAAAATTACTGAGCATATACATCAATTTTTACATTATAAACTTAATTGGTTTCACCTTGGGTAAAAACTGTATTTTTGAATGAAAATTTCACTTTCAATCAACGTGCTACTACCTGACTACAATTAAAATGCAAAAGAATAAAATTTCCTGTATGTAATTTTTTAAATCAACGTCGGATCAAAAGGAATAGAGAAAAAGTTTTAGAAAACTAATTATCAAGGAAAAATCTACGAACACTTTGGGAAAATTACTTGCTGAAAATTTGGATACGTCTTTTATGAAATGTATAAAGAGATAAAACATCTTATTAAAACTTTCAACAAATAAACAAAAATTAGTAAAATTGATGTGATCCACTTATGATTGAAACTATAAAAGTAAGACTGGCCGAGATTATTTCCATATTATGGCATTACTGTTCTAGCCGCTCCTGGGGAAAAATTTGTTTGTAATTTTATTATGACTTTTCAGTGTTTATAATTTGTCAAAAACAGTCTATTTGAAAACTATTCGCATTTTATCAAAAGTACTTAAAATTAAATTATAATTTTATTGCAAAAAGATTAGGAAATATTTACAATTAATCATGAGTATGAGACCTGACGATCATCGACGAAAGTGGGATCGAGCTGAATATCAAAGACTAGCTCAGGACCGAATTAAAACTATACAAAAAGAAGACGAAAGCGGTGGTATGTAAATATTGGAAAATTTTGGTTTATGCTATTATGTATATATACATAGAAAATATTATAAAAAAAGACATGAAATTATCTAATACTTCTTCTATAAATCATTTTTTACCTAGCTAATCAATTTAATTAGAAATTATATAATGTACATATATTTTAGAGCCTGTACAACGAGAAAATTTAAAAATTCGAGACTATAAAGTTGATTTGGATAGTAAACTGGGAAAGAGTGTTGTTATTAGTAAAAATACGCCGACATCTCAAAGTGGAGGTTATTATTGTAATGTTTGCGATTGTGTTGTTAAAGATTCTATCAACTTTCTTGATCATATCAATGGAAAGAAACATCAAAGAAATTTGGGAATGTCAATGAAAGTGGAACGTAGTACTGTAGATCAAGTTAAAGAAAGATTTAAGATAAATAAAAAAAAGATGGAAGAGAAAAAGAAAGAATATGACTTAGATAAAAGGCTACGCGAAGCTAAAGAAGAAGAAGAACGTTACAAAGAACATAAAAAGGAAAAAAGAAAAGAACGTAAGCGTAAAGCTGATGATAATATTGATGGTGACGATACTGGAATGCCAAGTGATATAGCCGCTATTATGGGATTTTCGGGTTTTGGAGGTTCTAGGAAAAACACATAAATTTTTTTTTTATGTTTTAAAAGGAGACGAAAAAAGAAGGACTTTTTTTTTTGGTTTCTTTATAAAAAAATTACCTTCTAAGAAAAAATATCAATAGTTGATTCATTGGGAGCAAAATATTTTGAAAATAACTTACATATATTGATATCAGTCATAATTCTATATATATTATAATTCTAATTATTTTATTTTTTAAAAATAAAGTGTTATAAATTTAATTTTAATTTATAAACACTTGTATAAAGTTAGTTTTTGAACAAAATGAAATAAAAAGGAAATCGATGCACCTGAAGCGATTGAATATCAATATTTTAAATAAATTATTCTGATTATATTTTTAAATTTAATTTGTTTTTTGTTTCTAATGCCTTCAAACGAGCCTTCTAATGCCAAGTATACAAACTTTTTATAGTACATATTATAAATTCTATCAATACATGGTTTTTATACCATTAAGAAATTGGCTTATAGGCAATTGACTTTACCTATTTGATTGGATCTTAAAAAATATTTTTGATTAGAATTTTCGTGTTTGTCTTCCTGGTGCATTTCTAATTTTGGTTTTGCTATCATTATTTTAAGATAATTTCTATTTTATTAGTTTTCATTAATGATAGTTGGATAGAAGATTTTCTAGTTAAAATTTATTTTAAGTGCACAATTGATGAACACGAAAGAAAAGTTTTGAAAACTTATCTAACGAAAAGTCTGAGATCATTGATATACTGGATTAGCACAAAAGAATAACTTTGGTGTTAATTGGGTTTAGTATTGAATATCTAAAAACCTGTTACATCTTAATTTTTAAAAAGCTTGGTTATGCTCTAATGGTGGGTAAGACCGTTTAAATTTAATTCGCTGATGCGTCCTTATTCCTCAACTGTTTTGTACGTTATACAACCTAGATACATATGTATAAGGTATCCTATTACATATTTTTTCCTTTTTTTTTTTTGAAAATACATAATATGTAAGTATACAAGTACATATTTAAATACGAAATGTATGTTAATGCGAGCGGTAAATGTCTGTTTTTAGAAAATATTATTTTCAGTGAAGTGAATTTAAAGAAGTTAAATCCGGATTTAAAAAGTCTGAGCTGGGGAAATATAACATAATAAATGATAACGTAATTAATGAAAAAATAAAAGATTAAGTCGTAATCTCGTAAAAAATTTCGCAATAAACTTTCATAAATTCAAATTTACAAATTTTGAGTTAACCAAAAATATTCGTACTGCTTCCGAAATAATTTGATAATATCTCGTAAACTATAAAATCTTCAGTACTGAAATTTTACGTTAACGAGTTTCATGACACGGTTTCTATTTTGAAGTGGCTTATTTCACACAATTTCAAAGAAAAGTTTGCTCAAATTTTGAAATTTAAAATTTGGCATTTGGTAACAGGAGCACCATTCTGAGTAAAATTATAGTAACTGATGCATAAATTCTTTTGTTAGCTGTTATAAGAACTTATAAAATATTCTATTTAAAATATTATAAATTTTTTTTTTGATGTAATCTTGAAATTGGAATGAAATCTATAAAGTCTGTTTATTGCAATGAGTGTGAACACTCTCACCAATAAACTCCTGAGAACATGAACCAAAAAACCAGCTGGAACTATTTTTGACGTTTTTCTAACTTCTTCTGCTTAGTGAAAACTGTTTATTTACAAAATTTACTTTATAAAAATTTATAAAATTTCAGAATGTTCCCTCTAATTTTTATTATAATATTGAACACTTTAATTGCTTTTGCACATGAACTATCAAAACCGGTAAAATTAACAATATAAAATAATGAGTAGAAAATAATGCATATTTTGCAGCTTAAAACTTATTTGACCAAACCATCAGAAAAGCAACAAGAATTAAAAAGGCAGATATCAATACTTGAAAAGGAGTTGGATGGTATCAACATGTCACTTAACTACACCGATTGGGTTAAAAAACAAAGACAAATATTTTTGTTGCAAAGAGAGCTTCCTCCGCCGTTATCTAAACAAACTTTATTGAATGAAGCTATAAATTTTGGTCTTGGATATGTATTTCAAATTTTAGGATCGTTTATACTAATTATAGTTTCAATCTATTATCGTTATGTGCCAGTAATAGTATTTGATGATAAATTTAATTTTTCCCCTTTTGGAAAAATGATTGCTTTTCCTACTGGTGTCAACAATGCTATTTCAGTTCCTTTTTGGATATTTGTTACAAATTTTACAACAAGGTGTGTGGCGAATATTTTCAGAAGGTAATTTATTTTGTAATGTTAGTTTCTTTGATATTCAATGTACAACACTCTAAGAACAAAAATAAATATTTAGTATTTATTCTAAACTATGTGTATTTGATGACTTAGAAGGCTTATTTATATTTACATTTTCAAAATTTTGTAGTTAGGTTCTTGCTGCGTAAATTTGGTTATTTTCTAAACAATCAAAATTAACTTGTGATTCTATCCATTTAGCTATTGTTAATAAAAACTGATCATTAAAATTATCGCTCATTAATTGCAAACCAATTGGTAAACCTCTTGAAGATAGACGTATTGGAACGTTAATAGCTGGAATACCAGACATATTTGCTGGTTGAGTACAATAATCTTGTACAGCACATTGATCTCTATTAGAAGACTTAATGAAATCTGTGTAAAGTGGAGCATCTGATAGAGTTGTTGGGGTTAATAATACATCAACCCCGTTTTCATTATTGAAAACTTTTTTAAAATCATCTGCTATAAGTCTACGAACTTTCAAAGCTTTTAAAAAATATTTTTCATAATTTCTTCGTAAGAGAAAGTAATTGCCAGCTAAGATTCTTGTTTTAACTACTGTATTAAATCCTTCAGCACGACTTTTTGCATATAATTGTTCCGTACTAGATTCGTCTTCAGCGCGATGACCATATTCGATACCATCATATCGAGCCATATTACTGCTAACCTCACACTGATTTAAAATGGAATAAACAAAAATAGAAGCTTCTGTATGAGGTAAGGACACTTTCTTTACAATGGCTCCTTCATTTTCTAATAAATCGGCTATTTTTATCCAGGTTTCTTTTACATCTTCTGATAAGCCTTCACAGTTGTATTCTTCTGGAATTCCTATTTTAATTCCTGAAACTGAAATTTCATCTTCCAAAATGAATGGGTTAAACTCTTTTTTTACAGTTGTTGAATCATATTTGCAAGGGCCAGCAACTGCGTTAAGAATTAAACTGCAGTCATTTACTGTTCTTGTAATGATACCTGGAACATCCATTGAATTTACTAAAGGGATTAACCCATGTCGTGAAAGTAATCCATAAGAAGGTTTATAACCAATAACACCACAATATGAAGCTGGATTCCTTGTAGATCCACCGGTGTCAGAGCCTAAGGCACTAAAAATATGTTTACAAATACTTACATAATTCATATTGTGTATAGTTTACCCAAAAACAATTCCTGCAGCAACCGCTGTAGCAGATCCTCCAGAGCTACCTCCCGCAATTCTCCACATATTGCTTGTTAAATCTTCACTCCAAATATTTTTGGTTGGGCCAAATATTGAATCTACAGTTCCTGAGCCCATTCCGAATTGATCAAGATTCGTTTTTCCTACCAGAATCGCCCCAGAATTGAACAGTTTTTCACATACCGTTGCATTATATGGCGGTATGAAATCTTGAAGCATTCTAAAATAAAATAATTAAATAAAATAAAGATTGGACAAATATTTCAATCTTTTGTAAATACTTTGATGCACATGTGGTATGAATATCTTTTGTACAAAAATTGTCTTTAACCGCAATTGGGACACCATCTAGATAGCTTTTTTCTTGCTTATTTTGATAACGAAATGTAGATTCTTTTGCTTGATGAAATGCAGCTTCTGGACACAATCTTACAAAAGCATTTAATATTTTAAGTTTTGCCGCATCGTCTAAACTATAATCTATTACATTTTGCGGGTTAATTATGCCGTCTTTGTAGGCACCAACTAACTAAATATTACAATGTGAAAGCTGTGAGTTTTAAGTGCAATTTTAATGAAAATACCTGTTTGATATTCGATTGGATATGGCGTTTCATTTCTACTGCCTTAACAGATCGCTAATCTATGGACATTGTTACATATTTTTTTAGATAAACGTATAATTATGTAAAATATATTATAAGTAAATGAACTATCTATAAAAACAAAAACAAAATATTTACATTATTTTGATTATTGTGTTTAAGAGGCGTTTACATTTTTTTTTTAAATTTTATTTTGATTTCTTTCTCTAATGCACATTATTAAATGCACCTACATAATATTTAATACATTTTTAGGACTTTTAAATAAAATTAAAACAATCTAGATTTTGCTAATTATTGAGCTCTCTAATATTGCAGCTCTTCAGTTTAGAAATGATCGATCTGTGAATTAGGAAAGGAGACAAACAGTGACCCTCTAATAATTAAAATATTGCGTACCATTGTTTGGAGAATCAAAAATAGATAGAGCTTTCTTTCAGAAGTTGGTTGCAAAGCACGATGGTTTTCGAGAAGTGTATTTATAACTGGACGAGAACAAGCATTTGAACAATATAAGATCAAATTTTTAGTAAATTTCCATTGTAGACCGGATACGAGCTTCATCTTAAAAGCTTTTGAAAGAATTAATGAAGGACATCTTGTCAAAATTAAAAAGGAATAAAACAAACTCAGTTATAATGAATTTTCCATTTACCTGTAAATTGTACGTATTATATTATGTCATACTATTTGACATGATGCGGCATAAGTATTTTTGAGAATTAACTAATTTTTGGTTAATTCACAAAAAATTGTTTCATACAACATTGTTTTTTACTCAAAGCTAACAGTTTTAACAGTAACTATTGTGCAATATAACTTCAAAAAATTTAACTTCAAATGGGTTAATACTCATGACAATTGCCATGCTAGCAGTTTGACAGTGACTGGATAGAAACTTATTGACAGTGTCAGTTCATAAATAATTTTGTGGTCTTATATTAGTGGAAATTTGTTTGGTTTTTATGAAAACAGAAATTTTAAAGTAGTTTAAATTTATAAAATATAGTTCTTAATCTTTTAATATTTGATAAAAACATTTAGAATATGTCTACCGCTACAGTTTTAAACCTTTTAGAAGTGTTGAAAAATTCGACGGACAAAAATAATTTACTAAAAGCGCTTGTCAAACTGAGAACAGATATTGTCAAAGATCGAGAAGGGATTATGCTTTTCAAAAATTCGCAGGGAATTCCACCGTTAATCAAATTTTTAAATAGACCTAACGAAAAGATTTTAGAAATTGCCTTGAGTATTTTAGGCAACGCTTGCACTGATGAAGAATGCTGTACACAAGTAAGATATTCAATCTTTAATAAGTCATTGTTTAATTTGCGTGATGTTTTAATTTTTTTAGGCTTTCGAGAACAAAATTGTTCCATCATTAGTTACCATACTGAAGAGTGTACCTAATCCATCTATTCAATGTAGAGCATGTAGATTATTAGGGAACCTAGCAAAACAAAATACATCTAAGTTTCTTAACTACAATTCTTCAATTTCCCAATCGCTTTGTCTTATTCTTGAGGAATCCATTGAGGATCAAACTACTATAATGGGTGTGAGAGCTGCTAGATATTTGTTAAGCAACAAAGAATTCATTAAATCTTTTATTGGAAATGGTGGCTTTAAAATAATATTACAAATTCTTATAAAAGAAATGAAAAAAGATCATATTGAGGTGCAGAACACTTTGAATGACGATATAGATGTAAAAAAACGTGTTGGTCTTAAAGTTCAAGAGCATAGAGAAAAATATTTTCAGGAAGTTGCGAGACATTTGGAAGGTGTTAGAAATGATATATTTGATAATGAAATGTTGAAGAGCAAAAAGAAAGTAATTTTATTTACTATGCCTAAAGAAAAATCTCATCTCGACATAGTGCATGAAATACTGAAGTGTGTACACTTAATATCGGAAATTCCTTCTCGGGAATCTGCGGCCGAATTACATAGCCCGTTATTAAGTTTACCATGCATTATATATTTTGCGAATGAAAGCAATCCGTTCCGGGGTCTTTCTTTAAGAATAATATCAAATTTTTCTAGAAACCCCTACGCGGTTTCTTCTTTAAGTCAAGCTGATGCCGCCGAAGCTGCTTGTACTTTATTAATGGCAGAACATTTAAGTACTTATACTTTATTACATTATTATATTATTATGAATATTACTATTTTAATTTCTAATATTTTAGAAATACCATTATCTAATTCTGAACTCAAATGTTGCATTCATTCACTTAATGTGTTAGCAGGTGATGCATGTAATCGTGCTAAAATTAGGCGAAGTGGAGCTTTACAAAAATTATTAGAATTAGCAAAAAAGTCGAAATCTTATTCAGAAGTATCTTTGGTAAAGTTACCTTATTATTACAATACTGCAATAAATGACGTTTCATAATATTTATTTTTTTCAGATATTGTTCGTTTTGATAAACTTTCAGTACGACAACTTAAGTATAGATTTTATGTCGCGTGAAGGCTTAGTTGATATGTTGGTTAAAGAATTGGAGGCTTTCCTGAACTCAGATGATGAGGTTCGGAAAAAAAAAGTAGAAGAAAAGCTAGCAAGAGCTCAAGCAAAAAAAAGAAAATCTCCCGCCGAAGCGATTCAACCAAATTCTAAAGTAAATATTTAATTGATTTCATTTTAACGATTCATAATTTGATTTAATTAATAATATTTTTAATAAATTTCTTATACAAAATTCAAAAACAAATTTGATAGGCTGCGAAATGGGAAGAGTTTTATGATGAAGATTCTCCTGTTGGTTCTCCGTTAAATCTATCGCCATTTAGTCCATGTAGTTCTAGAAGTCTGTCCCCTGTTAGTGCAAAAGTAATGACAGGTGAATTATATACATACATATATTCATAAAATTGTAAGCTTTTATCAATTTTCTTTTATGTTAGAAAACGATTTTGAGTCAGAAACATATTCGCCAGTTTGCAGTGAAGATGAAGCAGATAGTGAGGATGAAAGTAATGCAATAAAAGAAAAAACGTCTGATGAATGTGATGTTATGAAATTGTTAGATATTGCTTTTAAGACAGAAACAAATATTGAGGAAAATTTTTCTGATTTTGAAGATGAAAAAAAGGATCCTGGTAAAAAGTTTTTTTCTATTTTCCTTAGTACTTGAATTTGAAAAGATTTGCAACATAAAACTTTTCTTTTCTGGGTTTTAGTTCAAATGACAGAAAAAATATTTTCTCGAAATGCTATAGATATTATCGATAATTTATTGTTTAGAGTTAGTTTGTTGACAACTAACAGAGTAGAGCTTGGAAAACCACAAACTTTAAATATTATTATACAAGCAATTAATGTGTTTGGAATAAACCATAGCAGTTTTGGAAGCTGTTTAACGAATATCTTGTCGTAAGGCGTTAGGTTTTTCTCTTTATTAAATTTTTAAAATATCTTTCTTTCGATTTTAGAGATAGCAAGTTCTTTCTTAAAATTTTAAAACAAAACGTTCCTCATCAATTGTATAAGATGACTAGAATTGAAGACGTAAGTTAAATTTATAAATTTATATTTATATTTATAATTTATAAAGTGATGTACCTATCAATACTAAAATAAATACATCATTTTGATAGTACTTATTCATATATATCTTTCTAGTCAAAAGTATGTATAGTATCTTTTTTTACGGGCTTAAAAATGTATATAAAAAATTATATAAGGCAAACTGAAAGATATTCAATCTGAGGTTACATTATTTCCATTATTTTCTCGAACAAGCACTCAATAAACAAAATTTATTCTACCTCAGATTCATTTAATCAAGTTAATTTTGGAAGACATTTTTTGACTCATAAAAAAATAAAAACTATTTCATTTAAAATTTTATTTGATTTTTTTAAACCGTATTAAACTTTTTCTAGTTAAAATCCGGTGGTGTTAATTTTATTGATACATTAACTTGTGTAGCAGAAACTGGATATGGACGTGGTGAAATAGCTAAATTATTAAAAAATGAAATAGATCATCAGAAAAGAGGAGCAATTGCGATTTCATTTATTATAAAAAGTCCATCTTTTTTATATTCATTATTGACTGAAAATGATGTTCTAAATATATTATTAGCTACAATTTTAAATAAAAATGATGAATTAAGAGTAGAGGCGGCTGATGGAATAACATCAATCGCTCAGACATTGGGAATTGCTACTCCACGATGTCATAAATTTGTTTTCAACACAATCAAAGAATTCGACGAATTAATTGATTTTATTGAAACTTGCAATGAAAATGAAAATGAGGATGATGTAATGAAATTTTTAATACACAGAGGTTGTTCACAAATTCCAGTAAAGTTTAGTAAAACAATTTTATCCCACAACAGTGAAGTATTTAATTCAATGTTAAATAGCGATTTTCGAGAAAATAAAGAAGGAGAAGTACATTTAAAAGATTATACAGTACATGGAATAAAATATTTTTTAAATTTGATTAATTTAAAATCGAAAAAGCAACCATTAAACATTCCGCCAGTATATCATTTTGATTCTATATTAGAAGCATATGAATTAAGTCGTATGTATATAATGACAGACTTAGAAAAATATCTATTTGAAATGTTAGTGCATCGCTTGGATTTGAAAAGTTGCCTACGTGTATTTGAATGGTCATTAACTCATTTTAATCCGGAATTATCAGAAATTGCAATAAATTATTATTTGTCATCGGAAATCGATGGAAAAGATAAAGTAGATTTGTTTCGAGATGCTGATTATTCAAAATTTTCAAAAGAATGGTATCAAATGATTACCGATGCTATTTTGGTAAAATGTCAAAATATGTGCGTTGATTTTTCCTAAAATGACTTTTGAAAAATAAAATATTGAAGAGAAAGCCACAAAACTTTTCTATTATGTATATGGAAATATATGTATGTATATATGTAAACATATTAATTTTGAAATTTGTATTACAATTAATATATTTTAAAGATAAATTTTAAAAATTAAATATTAATTAAACTTAAGAATTTTCCCATTAAATTTACTGCTGCCCCGGTTGCTATCTATGTATTTATATAATAATGAGTTTAAAAAAATTCATTTTATTATTTTTTGTTTTGTTCTTAAAGGTTGGATGGTTCCGATGAACTTCTAAGATTTCATGCTATTATTTAATTTCAATTGTTTTTCATACCTATAGATTAAATTTGATAATTTTGTACTGAATATTTTAAAGACTTAAATTATTGTATACAAAAGTAATTTAAATAATTTTTTAACTTAATTTAATTGTATATCATTTTAAAAAAGTGGATTATTTTCATAATTAGTCATTTGTGTATTTAATATTTTGTATGTACAATTATGATTTTTGTATAAATATTATGTACACGTCAATCATCACATATATTAAGAAACAAAATCCTATAAATAAACCTTATATGTATCATACAAAGGAAAACTTTCTTTTAATTGGACATAATTTTAAGTATTTTAGTGTTGATGTCGTTTTGACGTAGTGAAAATTTCAACAAAACAAGTTCAAGTTGCACAATTTTATAATGTACCTAAAAATTGGACGCGGAAAAGAAATTATTATTAATTTATTTTCTATAATTTAAGGAGTAAAATCTGGCGAATTCACAACAATAATAAGTCTATAAATTACATATTTAATGGTTTTTCGTGCCTTATATAATATTATGTACATATTGGTTACAGTTCAATATAATAAAGAAGTACTCATATATCATTTTCGAAAATTATAGCATGACGAAAGTTCTGAAGCATTTTTAAAGATTTATTTAAATCTTGCAAAAATATTTTTAGTTTCAATAAAATCATATAGAAAAATGTAAGATATTAAACATCTAAACTATTGAACTAGTTATTTCCTGTAATGATACAAAATAAGATTTTTAAAATTTAATACCCTTATGATGATTGGCGAAGTGAATGGCTATGCGAGTCGAATGGACTAGGGACTAGGCGAATCGAATGAGATTTTAAATTATGATCGGCCAATGCTTTCACTCGCCAGATTTAAAATGTTGTTACCGAAAGACATCAGAAAACCTACCGAAAATAATAAGGTTAACACCACGTTTTATTACAAAAACAATGGAATTTTCCTATCTCTTTACCAATACATATCGAGGTTGTTTTATATTAATTTAATTAAATGCTCGAGTTGTTTTTGGTTTGATTTGTTCACGCTTAAATTTATATGAAACAGTCAATATATTTTACAATAACTTGTAGAGTTTTATGAATTTACTTTGCAAATAGTTTAGATTTTTCCATTACACCACTATAAATACTATAATACCCAATAGAAAAAAACACTTATGTATTATGTATTTGTATTTTTGGTTTCATTCGTCAAGCTTGCTACACAGAATTTTCATTCGACAGATTTGAATGCTCATTCGCCTAAAATTTCGGTGAATTCGTTAATAATAATACCAAAAATTTCATTCGCTTCGCCGAATAATAATAAAGACCTAAGTTAGAACTTTAAGTGAACATATAAATATCATTACAGAAATCAGTCATAAATATGTCATATGTTCTATGTTAATCTAGTTATTATATACTAATCAATGGAATTATAGGTTTGTATACACTTCTGAGATAATAGGAGTTAAGTTTTGAGTTTCACTTTATGTTAAAAATGAAAAGCAAGGGTCAATAAAGAAATTAAAAGAAAATTTCAAATAAATTTTTTACAATTTTTATTTTTATATTTTTATGTAATCTATTTTTTTTTGTTTTTCTTTTTTTTTCTTATTTTTTTCTTTTTTTCTCTTAAATAGATATATATATATAATTATATGTATATATTTATATATATATATCTATATATATATATGTGTGTATATACATGCACGTATATTCGTATATATATATATATATATATATATATATATATATATATATATATATATATATATATATATACATATATATATATATATATAACCATATATATCTATCAATAATATAGTTTTATATATTTCGTTATTTTTTTTTTTATTTTTTTTTACATCCATTTTTTTTTTGAAATTTTTTAATCTTACTATAGAGTGTGTATTCTAAGGTTTATAATATTTAATTTAAATTTAATTTCCTATATCTTCATTGTTTTGCTTTTTTGTTGTTGATTTTCTATAATACTATTTAAATTTTCCATTTCTTTATATTTTTTTACAGTCAAATTACTATATTTGAATAGTTTTGTATTTTTTTTTCTTTTTGTTTTTTAATATATATATTACCAATCCTTAAAATAGTACGACACATTTTTGTTTTAATTATTTTTTTTATTTTCAAATTTTTGTTTTTTTTTTTTTTGTTAATAATTTATATAATAAAATTTTAATATTTTTTATGATTTAATTGTTTTTTTTTTTGTATTTTCTTTCCAATTTATTATAAATATTTTCATATATTTTATATAATAAGTTTAACATTTATTTAATATATTTTGCTTATTTTTATTTAAAAAATGTTTATTACCTATTTTTTTTTATGAATTATTTTAATTTTTATTTTTTTTTTTAATTTTTTTTAATAATTTTTTTTTTAATAATATTTATTTTTTTTTATATAATATTAAACATTTACAGATTTTAAATTTTTTTATTTTATTTTGTTAGTTTTTTCCATTTTGTATTTTGAATATTTTATATACTCTAATTATTTTAATATTAAAATTTTTTTTATTTTAATTTTTCTTAAATGATTTTTGAAGTTTTATATTTAAGGGATCTTGTTTTTTATTAGCTATTTTCTTAGATTTGTGTAATTACATAAAGTATTGAAAAAAAAAATTAAAAATAAAATTATTTAATAAAAATGAAAAGCAATGGTTTAAAATGAAAATGGGAAAATATTATTATATTATCAAAATATAATATAAATTTAAAATGTAATTGTTAATAAAGAGCGAAATGATATTTATTATAGTGAATATTCAGAATTAATTGTAAGAAATCTCAGTATGTATATTAAAATTAAAAATGATTTTTTTTATTTTAGAAACTGAAATTTCTTAGTAGATTAAAGCAAATAATTTAAATATTTGATTCACTTTTCAAGGCAAGTTAATATAGAATAACATTCTGAAAAATTTTAAAAATAATTACTGAAAAAAAAGTACGTAGAAATATAACTGCGTAGTAAAAAATTCGGTGCCAGTCAGAATTATATTAGTATATAAGTTACCTAAGTTAAGTCATTGCAAAAAATTAGCTATATTTATGAATAAATTTAGGTGAACAAGATTTTGTTTATGAACACAAAATATATAATGCCATTTTCCCTGTGTATCGCGTTCGTGAAAATGTAAAATTATGTATTGCCTGATTTGTAAAAGTATATAAGTAGCTAGGTCATTGCAAATGAAATAATATTGTTATATAAGTAATATGAAAATTATTGAGACAATTATTATAATAATATAAAAATTATTTTAAATATATTTTACTTTTAATTGATAACATTTTATGAATAAGAATAGCTAAATATTATAATAAAAATTTTTTGTGGCCATTAATATTAATAAGAAAGTTGGTTTTTTCCTTAAAAGAACACATTATTTGTTTGTGATTAAATTAATTGTCTTTAATTTTTTTTTTATTATATTATTTATATTGTCTAGAATCCAAATATATTGTTAACTCATTTATTAAAACAAAAAAAAAACTAATAAAATAAATTATTTAATGAATTATTTTGTTAAAAAAATTATTAAATTTGAGATTCTTTTGTGTATTTTAAATTTGATTGTTAATTTTTTTTTTAATATTAAGGTGGCTATATTTATTTTTCAGTTCATTATTTTTATTTTTTTTTTTTTTTTTAGAAAGATTGATAACTATTATTATGTAATTATACATAATAATGTATATTATATGTATGTATATTGTTTTCTTTTTTAAATAAAAAAAGGAAGATTACAGAATAACATCAATTTTACAAAAGGAAAATAAAAAAAAAAATTGAATATAAACACAATATGTCAGTATGAATACATTTGTTAAATAATATAAAATTAAAAAATTAATAATAATCATCATTTATTGACAGTTCAGTTATAATATACATATAACAGTAATAAAATGGTATACGTTAAAAATTTAATTCGGTATATTTTTTTTTGTTTTTTTATATTACTAATTACCTATTTATTCATGCTGCAATTTTCTGCACTTTATTTTACTATTTATTTATTTATATATTTATATATATATATATATATATATATATATATATATATACATACATATATATATATATATATATATATATATATATATATATATATATATATATATATATATGTACTTAATTTAACATCTTAAATCTCTTCAAAATTATTTACTATATATATTTATATATATATAAATTTCTATTTTCAAATTTAAAAAACTAATTTTGTTTGCATTATCTATTTACAAATTTTAAATTTATATATATATATATGTATATATATATATATAAATGTATATATATATGTATATATATATATGTATATATATATAAATTGAATGCCAATTTCTTAACGTTCGCTTTTTAAAGAATCTTATTTATATTTATTTTATATTTATAGTAATTAAATTAATAATTTAAATATTAATTTTTATATTTGAATAATTTTTTTTTTGTATTTTTTCTTCTTCTGTTTTTACTTTGATTATTATTAAATAAAATATTTTACATATTATTATAGGTTTAAAAATCACATTTCAATTTTATATATATGTATGTATGTAGGTAGAATATATAATATAATAATAATTAATGTTTTTCTTTTATATGCGTGTACGTGATATAAATTAAAAATAATTTAAATTATAAATATTTTAAAAAACAATTTATATATGTATGTATTATGTTTAATATACGGAATAAATTATTATATAATATTATAGGAAAATTCAAAAATAAAATTTTGAGAATTAAAAGAAGAATAAGGAAGTAATATTTTTCAAAACAAAAATTAAATAATGGTATTTACGAAATTATTTATTTAACTTATTTTATTGCAGTTATTTGCTAGTTAAGAGGGTGGGTGTACTTCTCTGCTTTACATATAAATTTTGTTAAAAAATTAGGATTTTATATAGGTTTATATGGAATATGTGGGGTGGGGGGGCAATTAATAGTTGCCAATTAATAATGTTTATTGTGAATCAAAACTAATATTTTTGTTGAATAATATTTTTCTATATAACAATACAAAAATTTATATTAAATTTTATTATTATATTGTATAACAAATTTTAATGAATATTAATTTTTTCTATAATGCACAAGATAAATGTAATAAAATTAACAAGGGACTCTTGGCTTATGTGAATATTTTCAAAAAAAAAAAATACACATACTTGTGAATGTATTTAATAAAAATAATTGTGCTGTTATACTAACATGATCAATGTATATTATTGTTATACTATCAAAATTGTTTTAGATTTGTATATTCAAAAATTAATTTTAAATTATTAATAATCGTTTTAATTTTTTTAGCAAACGTAAATAATTAATATAAATTTCATATTCAAATAAAATTATAATAATAAATAAAATTTATTTAAATATATGCATTTTTTAATGTTTTTATATTTTTTAATTTTTTTTATTTTTGTTCATACTAATTACATATATAGCTTTATGTAAAAAGTGTACAAAACCAGTCTTTAAATATACATATGTATATATATATATATATATATATTTAATTTATACTTTTTATATGTATATATATATATATATATATATTAAGGTAAAAATTAATTTTACTATATACCCTATATTTGTTTTTGTTTTAATATTTTTTATAAATATATACATATATAAATTTATATTAATATATATGTATATATTTTAATAAAAAAACAGAAAAAAAGAAAGAAAAACAGAACTATTAATATTAATTTTTCCAATATATTTATATATTAATGCAAATATTTATATTTTCGCAATTTTCCTTTTTTAATTAATATTTTTATATAGAGTATTTTAAATTTTATTTTTTGTTATATTTATATTGTATTATTGTTATATAATCTGAAAATTATAACAAAATTTTTATATCACTAATAAAGAAATATGAATGTGTGTTTTATATTTAATTATAACTAATTTTTATATATATATTTACATATCATTTTAAATTTATTTTAAATATATATATATTTTTTATAATATTAGAATTTAGGTTTTATAATTTTTATAAATTTTATATTATGTTAAATAACAAATTTTTTTTTTGTTATTAGGTTTTTAATTATGAAAAAGATAAAAGAAAGAATAATTTAATTGTTATATAGAAAAACAATAAATTTATATCGTATAATAGTTCCATCGCAAAAAGGAATAATCGCTAAAGTCGACATTGTACCGTAAAATTAGATGACTGCGCTAAAATGTTCTCCATGTTTAAATGTATGTGTTCAAAAAGATGTTGGGGCACCATTTATTTTGGCCAAGCTATTAAAAAATTTTTCTAATCGTTAAAGTTTAGAATGAATTAATGAGCTTACATATTTTGCTAAAATAGCAAAACTCGCTTTAAGTGTTTATTTTAAAATTAAATTTTAGTTCAAACTCTTCTTTAAAGAATGTGTATTAAGGAATAATAAACAAAAATTGCTTAAGTCTAACATAGCTAAAGAATAGAAATGTGGAGCAAAATTTTAAATAACTTTTAGTAGCTATCTTAAAATTTTTCGAAACAAAGTTTTGGAAAAAGTTACAATGTGTGGTTTTTAAATAAATATATAAATAGTTTTTAAATAAATATAAAAAAATTAGAATAAAGACTAAAACCCTTTTAGTTGTATAAAATAGAAAGAAGTAAAAAATTACTCCAACAATCCAACCCTAATGATTCTTAGACTTTTGCAATAAATTCATAGAAATTATATTGAAGAGGACAAAAATCTTATGCAAATTTTTATTTTTGCTCTCGTTTATTCCTTTTTGCCACACAATATTATATTTCAAATTTTTTTTTTTATATTTAAATAATATTAAATTTGTTGAACGCACAATAATATTTTAAGTAAATTTAAGAAAAAAATTTAATTAACATAATTAAAAATAAAATTAATTTTGTATAAAAGCTAATTTTTTTTCTTGTGTTTTCATTTTGTTTTTTTTTTTCCATTTTGTATTATTTTCGCAATATTAAAAATATAAAAACATTTTTTTTTTGTTGTTTTTTTAGTATTAGGTATATATAATTAATAATTATAATTTATGTTTATATTTTTAGATATTTTAAATATTTTTACATTATATAATGTTTTTTTTGTTTTGCCTATATTATTTATATCTTATAATTTAGATTTTTGTAAAAAACAAAAAAAAAAGATTTTTTCATTCATTCAGGCAGTTTAATTTAATTTTTATTTTAAACAGTCACGCACCAATCATTCATTTTTATATTTATTAAATTTTAATTATGCAAATATCATTTTAATTATTTTGTATTTTTTGTGTTTTGTTTTTTTGTTTTTTCTTACAATGTTTTATAATATGAATGTATAAATTAAGAAATAAGTATAAAAATTTTTACACAATTAATTATAAAAATTAAATATAAATTAAATAATAAATTTTATTATTTTTTTTTGTGATTTCGTCGTATAGGAATTTTTTAAAACTGAAAAAAAAAAACAAATAAAATAATTTTTATAAATTTTATTTATTTTTTCTTATTTGTTTTTTCTAATTACATTATAATCATAATAATTAATTAAAATTAATTTATAAAAGATTAATTTAAATATAATTATAAAGTGTAATTATTAACTTACTTAATATTTTGTTTACTTTTATTTTTTATATTTCAATTTAGATGCGATGTTTGTGAATAATAATTATATTTTCTGTTTGAATCAGGATGATTTTTGATTGAGTTTAAATTATAAAAAAAAATTGTTTTATTATTAAATTTGAGTTTTAAATTAAATTATCAAAATTTTAAATTAATTTAATTGTGAATTAAAATTAAACTTTTGAATTGTATATCAACTGTAAATATATAAATATAAATTGATATTAATATAAAATATTTCAAATTATAATTAGATAAATTTGTGTAGTTTTTTGTTTTTAAAAAAATTGTGAACTAATGGATTATTGTATAATTGTTACAAAATTCTATATAAATTTATAAAAAAAAAATTGTAAATTTTAAGAATTTAGGAAATTGTTATTTATGTCATATATTTATTTCTCAAATGAGCGTAAAGCTCCTCTAGAATTGAAAATATAATTCTTAGCTTTTGTGTGAAATTGCCGTAGTGAATATTTTTCAACTTTATAAATATAGGTACAAAAATTAATAAATTGGTATAATTTTATAAAAAAAAAAAGTAGGTAATCTACTTAATTCAATAAGTTAATCCGTAAGGTAATCTTAATTGTAAAAATTTTTAAATATCTCAATGAGTATATGAAAATATTGATTCACATAATTTTTAAAAAGAAAACAAATTTAAATATCGATTTCAAGAAAATGAAGAATTTAAAATTAAATTGCTTATGTAATAAAGTTATACCATTCAAATATATATTATAAATATAGATTTGGATGCATATCGAAAATATGCATTTAAAATCTATTCGATTTAAATATAAATTTAATATTTAATAAATGGTTTACAATTCTGAAAGCGATTTGTACAAGAAAATTCTAAAATTCACTGTAAAAACATCATTAGAATTTTAATTACTATGTATGTATGTAATTTCGAGAATAATTAATATTAATAAAGTGAATTTATAAATTGAACTTACATAATAACAAAAATTATAGTAAAAAATTTAAAAAACAAAATATAAAAAGTTTTTAAAAATTGTTTTTAATATTAAATCATATTTTGTAAGAGATGTAATTTGTCATAAAAGCATACAACTTCAATGTTATACAATTAAACATATTAAAGCAATAATATTCATTTAAAATAATATTGTAAAATTTTATTTTCTAGTAACTTTGCTCTTTTTTCCTACAAAAGCGTATATTTTTTGACTGGACCACCCTAAAATTTTCCACAATATAAACTTACATACCATTATGAGATTCCCATTTTCATATAATATTAAATTTTTAAGCAAAAATATAAGCTTCATTTAAATTCAATCCTGACTTATGAATACATTGTGTATTCTTTTAAACCTAAAATATTATAGAGGAATTTGATAGAAAACCTAAAATATAAGAAAATTTTAAATAATTTAAGATTGTATATAGTAGACTGCACTTCAATACAAGATGTAACAAGTCAAAAACTGTATATATGGCTGAAAATATAAACTATAAAAATCAAAAATATTTATATTGTAAACATTTAGTACATTTCAAACTGATGTTCAACATTTATATATCATATTGTTAAATTTAACATAGAATTATGAATTTTTTGAATATGAAAAATGCAATTGTTAATAACAAACCAAATAAATTTTAGTTTAAATTATTTCATAAATAAATAGAATATCGCAAATCATCCTGTCTATTTGAAATTATTTAAGGTTATGAATAATAAATTCAAATTCTGAATTAACTTGAAGAATTAATTCTTGGATAAGCCAATATCGTAAAGCTTTGCTTAAATCTTTATTAAAACCTAATTTGACTAGAAATTTTAAAATTATATTTATATAATAATTAAATTTAAAGGAATCTTTTTATTTTTAAATAAATTAAAATAAAATATAAACTTAAATTGGAAAATAATTAAATTTATATTTTGTTTTTGTAACACAATTGAATTCTTATATTGGAAATCAAAATAAAAACAATTTTCACAAAGCCTTGTAATTTTCTGATGTTTTTTTTTTATATTTTTATATCAAAATTGAAATATAAAGGATTCTATTATTGTATACGCAAAAAAAAAAAAATTGCCGTTTTTCTAATAATTATTTTATAATATAGAAAATTATATAACTATACTTATATATAAAATCAAGACAAAATTCTGAACTTATTCACACAATATTCTTATAAAATATTTAATTGTAAAAAAAGGATTCTTTAATTTCTATTTTTAAATATAATTTCATATTGTATTACTTTACTGGTTTTTCATTTGTGTATATTTTATGTGTATATATAGGTATATGTACTATATATGAATTTGTGTTTTTGTTGTTTTTTTGTATTATTAAATACTTTTAATGTCATCGTTTTACATATACACCTAAATTTATATATAATATATTTATTTATTTTAACCTACAACATCTAATTTTTGAGCATCTGTAACAGCTACAGATGTTATATCATTATCAATTTGATTTAATGGATGTTGAAGTGGTTGTTGATTATGATGATTATGATGTAAACCAATTGAATTACCAATATTAACACCACCAGCCGATATAACAACATCCAAGGGTACAGTTTGTATTGGTGGTATCATTATGATGCCATCAGATGGGGTTGTTGTAATATCACCAGTTCCAATTATTGTTGAACCATTGTTTAATATTGTTGTTTGTTCATTAGCATCAGTACCAGCACCAACAGAATTATTAATAGTAGCATTTATATTAATATTAGTTAACTGATTTGAATTTAATGTGCTACTAATATTACCATTACTACAGATTTTACTGTATAAATCCGGTGTTGCTGTAGTAACTTCTTCAAATTCTGTACGAATTGCTGTACGTTTTAATAATTGTAAATTTGATGGTAAATATGATAATATATTATATATAAGGCATATATCTTCACTTGATGTCCATACACCAGGACGTTTATTATGATATAATTTGGCATATGTATATATATTTGCTGTACGATCATATTCCATTTCCATTGATAATGATGTTATTGCACAAAATGTACATGCCTGAGCTCCACCATATCTAAAATTATATAAAATAAAATATTTTTTGTTAAATTTTTATAATTGATATTAAAAAATTATAATATTTTACGTTATAAATATAATTTAATTTTGACTGTAAAATATTACCTATCAACAACAACAATTGGTCCATTACGATAATCACTGGTACGATCATGTACATCAACAATAAAATCATAAATACTATTTGGATTCGTCATATCTGGCCAACTAGGACAATGTAACATTTTAACATTTAATTCATAATCATCCTGTATTGATTGTATAACAAAATCACGACTAACGTAGTCATTTTTATTTGTTTTACTTAAAAATTTAACACGATAATAATCGCTTTCAATGGGTTGCGTTTCATCAGGCCAAAATTGTGCAAATGTCTAAATTAAAAAAAATTAAACATAATTTAGTTTGTATAATTTAAGTGAATTACAGTATGTAATGTAAACAATGTAATAGGCAAAGCACATATTTTATTTTATTAAAATTACTTACAATTTCATCTAGTGATGACAATAGTACAATTGTTTGAGCATTATGATCCCATACCATTTGCCAAAAATCTTTAACAGTATGTGACATTGGATGTTGTGTTACAATAAAATCTCTTAAACGTCTAAATCCTTGTAACCATGATGCATTTATATAATCGCTACCATCTTCTCCTGGTTTTGGGGTTAAATGTACTCGACTACCTTCAATTGGGAATATAGCACCACGATTTTTAATTGAATTAACTTGTTTCATTGCTGATGCAATATGAATATCTTTTGTTTGAAATTGTATTATATTTTTATATTGATTTTCCAAGAATGTTGTATTATTTTTAAGTTCATCAATTTGATCACGTCGCAAATTTGTTTCTTGACTTGCAATCGCTTCAACTAATGCATCATGTATAAATATATATTGTTCTTCTGTTTGAACTAAGAAATTTCTTTGATTTCTTATATGACGTAAGAAACCAAATACATTAATAACACCTTTTGCAGCCATTTGTTTTAACATTGCATCTAATACTATATATGTGCCAGTACGACCAACACCAGCACTAAAAGCAAAAAGAAAGAAAGAGAAAAAAAAAAGGGAAATAAATTAAAATTCTGTGTATACTTCCTTTAAATTTGTATGTGTAGTGTGTACATAAAGATATAAGTAAAAAGGCAATGGAAGTATGGAAAATAATAGAAAATATTTTAGAGTACGCAAAATGAAGATTTCAAATTTTTAAATTTTACTCCTGACACTAATAAAATAATAGTTATAAATTAAATTCTGGAATTGAATTACTTCAATTCAAGAAAAGCAGAAGAAATATTTCTTTAGTTAATGAAATTTTCTCGAGAGAATGTATAAATTTTTTGAAATAAACTTTAAAAGTCAAAATGACCTACAAAAATATAACATTTTACTCCAAAAATAACTTTTCTTAAATTTTAATTTTATATTGAAAACTTAATTAATTGATATTAAGGATTTTATACACAGTTATGCGTATGCTTTAGAAGCAACATTTTGCTCAAAATTTAAAATATCTACTTCGAATTAATTCTTGAATTTTAAATATGAATTTCAGTAAATTTATTAAATTCCAAAAAGAAATAAGTCTTCGGATGCCTATATTGTCAATGGAATTCCAATAATTCAATAATCGTTTAGTTAATTACCGATTCACAATCAGGAATTTGAAAAATATTTACACAATTTAGGGTTTTCACAACTATTAAACCAGCTAAATCCAACTACTTTATTTGAAACATATACTGAAAATCAACAATAAGAAAATTTAAGATAATTTTTCACAAAATATAATATATTTTTTAAATTACGGAAAATCAAGAAGTTTTCAATTTTGTGTGCTGATGTAGAATGATTACTGTTATCTCTTAAATTTTCTACGCTACATTATTTTAATCTCTTAAAAGTTATTGAGATAATAAATTATTTTTCAAAATTCGAAATGTTAATACATCAATTATTATAGTAGATATGCGAAATATTTAAATATCAAATAGATGTTTTTATATATTTAAATGTATCGAACATCCAACTCGATTTTTTTAAAAAAAAAAAGACATTTTCAATATGAGTAAAAGGATTAAATTTGCATTTGATTTTATATGCATTCTAAGTAATATTACAATATTTATTATGAATCAAGACCCCATTTTCAATGTAATTACTTAAATTTGGAAATGGAGCGGTGCTATGTTTTATGCCGATCACTTTTTTTAAAAAAAGAAGGAAATTAAGTCTGGAAACTTATATATTTTATATATTAATGAAATCAGTTGTATTATATAATCCAAATTGTTCAAGAATCTTCTAAACTATAGGAGGCTCTTAGTGGGACTCTTGGAATTCAATCAATTGCAAAGTTATGTATAAGAAAACATTAATCAGTTATAAAATTCTACCAGAATGGCTTAAATTAATTAAACGTTAACAATATAAAATTAAAAAAAGTTGATAATGATTTACAGTTACCTGCAATGAACAACAATTGGTCCAGCATCTGGTGGATTAGCACTTGATGATTTTTTAACAAAATTTAATACTGGTAAAGGATGATCCGGTGTTCCATGGTCAGGCCAATTTGTATAATGATATTGATAAACAATTTTTTCACTATTTATTTGCTTCTTTTTCTTTAACTATATGAATAGGAAAAAAAAAATTAAAAAAAAAAAGGAATATTTTTATTATTATCAGAAATTTTCAAAAAATCGAATTATCGAATTCATTTATAAAAAAAAAAAAATTTTAAATAAGTACATAATTCAAATGATTTTACCTTTAAATGCTTAATTTGTAATGTTCTTACAGTATAAGTAGCCATAACTTCTTCTTCAACTAATTTTACTTGTATAACACCATAAGTTTCAGTACCATCTTTTGGCCAATACATATCACATTTACGACGTCCTCTTTCAACTAAATTTGTAATCATAACAATAATTGCGACACGTTGTTCCCATATCATACGCCAAAAGCAATCAAATGTATCTGGTAATGGACCCTGTGTACCAACAAATGCTCTAGATTTTTGATAGCCATCAATAAAATTTGCATTAATATAATCTAAATTTTTCTTTTGTCCTGGCATCGGATGTAAATGAACACGGCTATGATCATCTTTAAAGAAATAACAAAAAAAAAAAAAATATTGAGTTACATTGAAATTATTTTGTTAAGAGTAGAATTTTGCATGATATTACAAAGTGTGTATTTTTTTTTTGTGATAGAATTGTCAATGAATCTTGGTCAATTATTTCATAAAAATTTAATTGAAAATATTAAATGTTCCTGAATCCTGAATAATCTATATTATATAGAATTTTGTTTGGTGAAAGTTTTTTTTCTTTTTGAAATTTTTGAACAATCCACGAAAACACTTTTAGTATCTATATATTGTATTGGGTATTACTAAAAAACGATCATAAATATCTAGTGTTTTCTGCGTATGAAGTCTTTCTACACTGTTACAATGTATATATATTCAAATATATTACACAGTATCGTTTCTTTCTGAATGAATGATAAAATCAATACAAATATTTTTAACCTATTTTCGATTAAAATGGTAGGTATCGTAAGTTCTATTTAAAAAAAAATTTTACGAAAAAAGATATTCAATTTTTATGTTTTTTTTTTCGTGTTTGTTTTTTATTTTTAATGTAGATCGTGTTTATGTGAAAATTTTTTAATGTTATATTATACCTGTATACTTATATATTAATTTTACATGTAAATATAATGTGAAGGACATCAATTTAATGGATTTAAAAATCTCATTCTGTAATGGAAGGTGTTTTTCATTCTCATTCTATGTTATTGTTATTATAAAGTGCTTTTATTTAGTGTACACATAATTATTAAAGTATATATATATATTGAGAATATGATGTTCCTTCATTGTGAATTTATATTTCATGTTTTTTTTTTGTTTTTTCCCCATTTTACATTATTTTTTGTGTCATTATTAAAATAGAAAATGTGTATTATAAAAACAAATCCAGTATTTTGAAAATTCTTACATTATACATATATATATATATATATATATGTATATATACCAATTTAAAAAAATTTAAATTTGCAATAAAAAAAAAGCAATATATGTACATAGGTATTTGGAAGTTAAATAGGAAAAAATTTTTCATCTGATATGTTTATCATGGAAAAAGGCATGGAATGCTCTTGTTGTGATTTTCATCAGAATATAAATGATAACATAACTAGGTATTTGTGATCTTATATCTTACTATAATAGAAGGTTTTTGCTGTTTGTTTGAAAACATGTTTATAAAATTATTATTAGGTTGGATTTATTAAATTCTTTTCAAATAATACATAAAAGTAAATATACATACATATTGTTGTTCTTTTATAAATGCGACTAATTTTTTATATAATTAATATTTTAAGAATTTCAATTAATATTATATGTATATTAATAATAAATAATTAAATATTAAATATTAAATATTGAATATTCACAAAGTTAAAAATGGTATTTTGATTACAATTTTAATATTTTGAAAATTTATTTAAAATCGAAAAAAAAAATTTATTTTTCATAGCAGCTTTCTCTAATTTTAGCACAACTCGCATTCCTGGGAAATATATAACCTTTAATTTACTATCATCTTTTTTGCTTGTAATGGTTTGGTAAGGAAATAAAATACTGAAAATGTTTTACAACAATGATGCCTCTCTTCTGTTACAGAGGTGTTTAACTAGCCAACCAAGTTTCTCATATCTCGAAACCTGTTGAACTTCATATGTAGGATGTATAAAAGAAACACGCTTTTTTATGGGAAGCGTGTATGTTGCGCACCAAATATATATTTGTTAAAATAAAAAGTTTTGTTTTCTTTTTGAAAATTATATTAGGAAAATACCCGGAAAATTGTCAATTCTTGTTTTTTAAAATTATTTTGTAAAATGCTTTATAAAAAAGTATGAGAGAATTTTAATACATAATATTGTGAATGTATAACAGAATTAAACTGCTAAAAATAATTTTTCTTTACCCTTTAGTGAAAAATGTTTATAGCATACTTGTAGGCGTATTTAACTGTATTTGACATTTCTTTATATTCATTTTGAATTTATTTTCCATTTCATTGAATTTACATTTGCTGTTACAGAAAAAAAAAATTTTATTTCAGTTTTAATTCATAATTTTGCTTTAGAAAAGCATTTCTCTTTTTTTTTTTAAATAAAAATTTTAATTTGGTTTTATAATTGTAATTTGAAAATTTTCTTAAGCCGTTTTCGAATTCACACTCTATTTATGAAATTAAAAAAAAATTTTGGGAGTAAAAATATTTTTCCATTAATAATTGTATAAATTTTTATAAAATTTTTATACAATTAAATCTTAAATACAAGATCGGTAATCATTCTTAAAATACTTTAACAATGAATTGAATATAGAGAAAATTAATGTGGCTTATCTTCAAGTATGTTTAAAAATCTTAGAAATCATGTAGTTCTTCTTAAGACTATGTAAGAATTTATTGCGAGTTTCTTTACTGGATACTACCCAGTAATTGCTAACATTGAATTGGGCTCAACATATACCTAAGATGCTGGTTTATTCATACAATTTCATTACATATCTATAGGTAAGTATTTTTTATAACATGTCACGAGAACATAAATTTAATATCCTTTAATTTTTCCCCAAAGGGAAACTTTAAATTTCAACTTAATCTTTGGATCTTGATACCTTGTTTTACTATTGAAAAAAGAACTATAACACCAAAAGGTGCAGTATCACATGATTCTTCATAGACGCTTATAGGTATAAATTTTCAATATTTATTTTACTCTACCTCTAATAACTTTTCCGTTTTTTTTTTTTCTTTTCCTTTATAAGTCTATTTTAAATTTTTGATTTATTAAAGTCCTTTTGTTCTTAAAAATAACATTGGCTTTTGTATTCAATTTTATATATTCTTTATGTGTGTATCTACATGTATCTACATATACGAATAATATTCATATAAAAATTAAAAATATGTGTACGCGCGTATCGATTAAATATTTATTATTTGATTGAAAGAAAACGAAGCAATTCCAGGATTTCAAATATACTTAATATATATATATATATATATATATATATATATATAATATTCATACATATATATATATGTATGTATATACAGAAAAACAATTGAAAAGGAAATTTCTTATATGCAATATTAGTTGAATATATAGTCGCGGAACAAAAGAATTTTCTCAATTCATTTTTATTGGGTGTATAAAAATATGAAAATTTTATTTGCCTATGTAAATATTTCCAACCTCAGTCTGTGTATTCTTGTTTTTTTTTTTTGCAAGTAAAAACAGGAAAAAAAAAACTTTGACCTCAATTTATAAGTGGACGCGCTCGGCATATATAAAAATTCATATATATATATAAAAGTATAAGAATGCATGAATGTATTTCGTATAATGTAGTTGTATTTGCATTTATGCATAAATTAAAACCATTTTTCAATTCAAAATCGAATCATTTAACAATAAAAATGGATTTACAATTTACGAGTACTTATAAACAATCCATTGTGAATGGGAAAATAAATAAAAAATTGAAGAAGAAAAATGGAAAGAGAATAAAAATAAATATAATTTTTTTAATTATTCAGCACAACCATAAGATATAAGTAATCTTATGTTAAAAGATATCAAATTTCCCATTATGTTTATAGTTCTTATTCTTTAGAGAGCATTTTTCATATGCCTATACTTACGTTTATAATTGCTGCAATAAGGCAATAATTAAGCTATCTTAATTTGCTTAATGCTAAGCATGTTTTACAATGTTTAAACTCTCCGTACTCAAATTGCAAGTTTAAAAAAGTAATAATAGCTGATACCAGAAGTTTTAAGGCAAGTTAAAAGTAAAATTATTAAAATACTTACAGATATTTCTCGATTAAAGTGGTTTTCGGGACCGAAAATTTATGACTATAAGCAAAATGACTTAAATCGAACTTTATATCTAATTTTCATAAAAGAATTTATAAAAAACAGAATTGACGTATTAAAAATTTTGGGGTCTTATATCGAATTTAATTAAGATTAATGTTTTATTCGATACTATACATTTACATTACTCGACGCAGATTTAGGCAATTTTGTTTGAATGTCATTGTTGATAATATTATTGAAAGAAACTTACACTTAAATGTTTTGATTTTTTCGAAACTAATTTCGCATATTCTTATATAATATGAAATATTTTAGTAATTTAATTTTCTTCGTAATTATTTTAGCTGGGATGAAGTTTAACTGCAAATTTAATTTCATCGATATATACAACTAGTTTAAAATTCAAAATGTTTCATATTATTGTGTTAATCCCTTCGTGTTTAATATTTCTCATTAATTTTCGGCAATTTTTCTATATTTTATACAAATAGTCATTATCTTATATTGAAATTTCAAAAATACATGCACAGATATTCTCCTGGTAAGGTTAATATCGTAAATTTCTTAAAATGAAATGAGGTACAAAATTTATTAAACTATGTTTTAAAATAATTATGTGAATTTTAAATTGGGCTTCCATTTTGATCTCCTTTATAATTACCCAATCGAAACAGTGCTTATTATAGCTAAGTTAATTATATTATGTAAATTAAAATAAAAGAAATTTCGTATATAAGATCAAAAATTTTAATTTATAATACCCAACCAAATTAAATGAATGAATTGCTTTTTATATTCCATAAAAGATATAGAGAATTGAATTAAAATTTAAAAGAAAAATTATGTTTTTGAAGGGAATGGTGGTTAGAGAAGAGAAATTTACACTCTATTGGATTTGAACCATTAATAACAATCATAAAAATAAAGTTATATCACTATAAATGTATGTATGAATATATATATATTTATACAATGAAAGTTCTATAATAACAATGCAATATAATTTTATCCTCATTTTCGCCTTTTCTTTTATTTATACGCCTATAGCATGCGATTTTTCTTTTATTTTTTTAAATAATATTTTAGAAATTTTTGCATCCTTCTATTATGTATAACACTCATACTATAATGGAAAATTCTTCTGTTCTTGCGGTATGAAATATTTTTTGCTATATAATGATAAGAAAGAAACCAAAGTTAAGATCATTGAAGCAGTAAATATACACATACATATATATTGAAATATTTGCGTATAATAAAATTGCAAGGAAAAATTCTATTTCAATTTTAAAAGAAAAAAAATTTTTCTTTTTTTTTTAAACCAAATTTAAACCACTCGCGTTCAGATTGTGAATTTATATGAATATATACCGTATATGCTAATATGAGTATATATGAGTGTATATGTTTATGTATATAATGGGTATAATAGAAATTTGTGAAAATTGCTTTGTGGTAATAACTATCATTTTTCCATTCATTTTAAAATTATAAACAATTCTTTCCTATATTCTTGTTTTGTTTCTCTTTTAAAAGTTCCGATATTTATTTTTATATTCATGGAATATATAGCTATATATACATACATTAAATATTGGGTACTTTGAAAATTTAGGAAAAAACGGAATCTACATATGTATACATGTATATGTATATAAAATAAAAAGTAAAATATCCTTTGAATTGTTTGCGAGAATTGGTTAAAAAGAAAAATAAATGAAAAATTCATCGCCAATAGCTTTTCAAATGAAAAAAAAAGAAAAATAGGCAGAATTTTTGTCGTTTATTCAATTGTGGTAACTTAATTTTTTGCAAAAAATTGCATAAAATTTTAAATGGGATTTTGTAATATTATTTCCTACCATAGCCGGTTCACATAGATTCGGAGATATATTTGGAAAAAATGATTTTATATCACGAAACCGAAACGGATTTTAAATTTTTTTTGTTTGAGAATCTATAATTTCGTTTTTGTTTTTTTTTATGATATTTGGACTATTATAATTCATTAGTGTTTATTAATTCATTGAGGTTTAACTAGATTAGTGTTAGTAAGATAATAATGAGATTTAAAAGGTAATGTGTACGGATATATTATATGCGTCAGAGTCCTTGCTTCTGCATCGAAATTATTAAGAATTGTTAACAGTATGATTCGAAGTTTTTAGTAATTCATGGATATTTCACGCTCAAGAAGTTATAAGAAGACCAAAAGAAAAGATATTAAGAGATGTTTATGTATTAAGGGATAAAAGAAGATGTTTACTCAATTTTACTATATATGATTTTAAAGAGTATAACAGAATATGTGAATTATTTATAATTTAAGAACTATTTGGTAAAAATTTTTAGCATTGTTGAGAAATTTTCTCATTCATTGTGTAAATGTTCGATTAATCATTCTCACCTTTCCTCAAATTTAGAATTAATATTAATTAATTTTAATTTTGAATTCATTTTATTAATATGATTTTATTATAATATTATGGTTTATGATTTATGATATGAAATCTCGAATAATGAGAAATCTAACTTCAATTTAAGCACAAAACTGAATTTAAAAAAATTTTTTAAAATAAATTTTTTTATATACTTACATGCAATTATATTGAGGTAACGATTTTTTCTTTTATTTTCTGGATGTTGTGAATGTTCACAGGGTAAATCTTCAACAATTGATTCATTTTGTATTGCTTCATATTCTCGACTAAATCCAATATCACCATCAGCATGTAAAGATGCAACATGTTTTGTAAATTCATTAACTGGTACAGCAGCACGTATTTCACCGCCAACTTCAATTGCAACTTCCCAATCAACTTGAGGTATTGTTGGATGATTTGGTGGATCATCCAAATAATAGTAAGCAGCATGAAAACATTTCCTGCTTTTGGTTTGAAATTAAAAATAAAATAGAAAAGAAAAAGAAAAATATAAAATCATTTTATTGAAATGAACTTGAATTAAATAAATTTTAAATTTGTATGTGTTTTATAAAAAAATAAAAGATAAGATTGGAATTATTCTGAATTTTTTTTCTATAAAACTACATGTGCTTCATAAGAGTTAAATTTGGTTTTTTTTAAGTACGTGTGTGTTATAATTTATAACTTAAGAAACGCCTGTACTGAATCACAATTGGTTAATAATTTTTCAACAATAAATTAAATTATTCAAATTAGTAGTGTAATTTTAACTTAAATCTTATCCGTTAGTTAAAATTTTTTTCATAATTAAATCCCCTCAGATTGGATCAAGTTTATTTGATTTACACAGTGCTGTTGAATAACCAGCTAAATAAGCAGACAGAAATTAACATTCTTTTTAAAAAAAATTCTGACAACTTAATTTAAAAATATATTTTTTATAGGTTTCTTACTCATAGGCTCTTAGGACCCTCAACAACCATTGAACATTTATATGAAAATTTAAATATTATAACAAAAAATTCTTATTCACAACACTTAACATAATTTATCCCATAAATTTACACATTATCTCAATATGCAACCTAAAAGTATGCAATTTTTTCAAATTTATATCTATCAATTGTTTCATTCATCATGAAAAATTGTAATATTGTGCAGTTATGACACTATGAAATCCAATAACAATTCTTAACATCTATTTTAAAGTATTAAATTTGTAGAGTGTATTTGGCGTTATAAATATCTAGGATAATTAATAGAATAAAAAATTAATTGAATGAAATAAATTATGTAAAATAAATCAAAACTTAAGTACTACTTGCTAATGCACTTTTCGTTATTTAAAAACTCTTGACTTACAATATAATAATATGTATAACAAATTAATATAGTGAAAGAATTTTTAATTACGTGATTTAAACATATATACGTGTATATACTTATTTTATGTCCTATAAGTGTTCATTTTTCAATTTATTAGTAATTAAATTTACCAGAAATAATCACTAATAAATCACTTATATATTATTTTTTATATATCTATGGTATATTCATATATGTCTGTATAATTATTTCAAAGAGTCGCGATTATGCTAATTAGGTCTCCTTCTATATATTATTTAATTTTTGTTATTATTATTATTATTATTGTATAATAATATACGTAATTATGTTTTGAAATAGATTTTTTTATGATTATTTTTGTATAATAAAAACTTAATTTTATTTCAATTTTATAATTTTATACATATAATTAGATTTTTATATAAAATAGTTGTTTATATGTATAGGTATATTTGTTTTTGTTCAAAATATGTATATATATATATATGTGCAATAAATTGAAAAAAAAATAGCACTATATATATATAGGTATACCAATTTAAATTTTAGAAAATTTAGAAAACTTTATTTCAATTAATTATTTTGAGTTTATTTGCATAAATTAATTAAAATACTTGTATTTAATAATAAATGAATTTTAATTATACAACTACACATGCATATATATATATAGATAATATAAATTATGCAATGTATAATTTGTTTACTCTTTTTATATTCATATTTTTGTTTTTTCAATAATTTCAAATTTTTAATTTAAAATTTATACATATAATAATTGAATTGATTACAAAATATTAGATTTGATTATAATTTTAACCCTTTAGCAGAAAATAAAATGCTTCCTTGAATATTAACATTTAGCATGGGAATATCTAGGATTCGGAATAGTATTGGGACTTAAATCGACAATTTTTGAAAATTTTATTTTTCCTATTCTAATTTGAATATTGAAAGAGTTATTTTATATTTAATATGAGAGGAATGTGGAGTGCCAAATTTAATTATAAACTGAATTGGTTGCAAACTAGAGTCCCGTTTTTGCTAGATGTTCCAAAAATATAAAATTTTATTATTGCTTATGAATTATGTATAATATTCTGTTGCTTATAAAATTATTTCAATAAGACAAAAATATAAATTTTAGTTCAATAAATTCTTTTGCTGTTTCGTTTGAAGAGTTGGAAACATACTTTTGAAACAGTGACGAAAATAATGTTTTCTTAATTGGCCATTTTTCACTTCTCGAAAAATTCGAGAAATACCGAAAATTTGAGCTTAATTTTCAGATTTGTCCAATAAAAAATTTCCTTGCCCTATGATACTTTTATGGAATTTTCTTATTAATTATTTAATATTTTTAAATACTCGCGATGTTATGTGTTTGTCATTAAGCCTATTAAAATTTTGTTATGAAAATTATTAATAAATAAATTTCTTTAAGGCTCGTTAAATATAATATTATAATTAGTGTTAATGTGCTATATAAGTTTTCATTAACCTCATGAATTCCATTGGCCTGAAAGATGAAACATGAAGTTTTAGTAGTTTTCTTTTGTATGTAATCATATTAGAAGGTCATGGTTCTAGTTTTCAAAGTTTTTTATATTGTATATTAATTATAGTCAAAAAAAAAACTACTATATAAACCTACATACATATATCAACGATGGAAATTAGTAAAATTAAGACATTCAAGCACATATAATAATTTTTGTTTATGATATTTACATATTCATCGTAAGGGGTTAAAATTTTATAACTGAATAAGTATATAGTGTTATAAAGAACTCACATTTATAAGTGAATATCACTATAACTAAAATATTATTTGAAAAAAAATAAATTATTATTCTAAAATGAATAAATAATTTAGATTAAGAGTGAACTTGAGTTAATGAATGGTGCCAAAATATTATTATCCTTTTTTATTCTATGTATTTATTTTATATGGAATAATATAATTCATTTGTTTTTAATGTCAGGATCAGATAAAATTTCAATAGAAAAATTTCAAATTTTTTTTTTTTACTTAAAAATTAAATTATGATGTTTTTTTCGTAAAAAATATAGTTTATTAGAATTATTTTTTACTAGTAAATATGCGAAAATCAAATTAAAATAAAATATTTTACTTTTCAAGTACAAACATATGTTTATATTAATTATGAATAAATAATTATTTGCTAAAATATGTATGTATAGTTACAGTTTCCATAGAAATTCCTATACATTGCAATTTGCAATAAAATTCTTTTAAAGATTTTCACTGAAATTAAAATATAATTTTTTCTCACGGGAATATGAATTAACAATACCGAAAAGAGGCGAATAAAATTAATTAAAACTGGAATATTTAGATAAATAAAAATTATAATCGTATGTTGAGGTAACTGAAAAAAATGAGATTAAATTCCATAATATTTTCAAAATTTTTAAGTTATGTGCAAACATATTATATAATAAAATATAGCTACTATTCAATATTTATAGTTCATTCAGTAAGGTCACCAATTGATATCGATTGAGATGTTTCGGTGAAAATTTAATTTTCTTTTAAAAAATTCTCGCAGCTCAAATTATAGATGCAATATTGCGATTTTTTAAGGGTCTGGGAATTGGGACGAAAATCACAATGCAAAAATATTATAATATAAACTACTATTTTGATCATCTTGTTAATAATAAAATTTTCGATAGAGTACCTAATCAAAATACAGTAATTAACATTGGTTCTCAAAGATTTTAAATTTGAAAGAGTTGGAGTTGAAACAGGGATAAAGTTAAAAGAGGGAGTTAATAATAAAATGTAATAAAAGTCTTACTGTATACATACTTTGTATTTGTAAAAAGTTTTAAAAATTTCTTTTGATTATTATTATAAATGTCCTATAATATCCCACAAATATCATTTTTTTTTTTGTTATACATACCTACATGTTATACAAATTTATGTTTTATTATATTTTCATTGAATGCATGAATTAATATTGAAAACTATTTAATTTTTTTTTATTAAAAAGTTCTTCACTAAAAAATATTGCATGCGATATATTTTAATTAAAAAAAAAAATCATATATCAGTCATTATTTTTCACTATGACTACATGTGTGTACCAACACATACATACATATATAATATGTGCATGTATATAGATTTATTTAATATAGAAAATTTTATATAACTTTTTTAATTAAAAACTTCAATAATATAAAATTCATTACCATTTCTTCTTCATGACTTTACGATTTTTATTAATTTGATTTTTTTTTTTTTAATGAAAAATCTGTCTTTAAAATCAAAAAAAAAAATATATGCAAAATATTCAAAATATTATATAGACAATAGAGAAGCGATGATTTTATCAGTTTTATTATGCCCATACATATACATATATGTGTGTGTATGTATATAGGCATTTTAATTTATTTTGAATTAAAAATTCAATAAAATTTTTCATGTAAAATAAAACATAACCTCCCAGAAAATAAAATAAAAGTCCAAACTTTTTTAATAATATTTTTATTCTTTTACATACATACATTTTTTTTTTTCAATATATGTACATACATTTATATGTGTATGAATATCAATATCTTTTAAACTATTAATTAAAAAAAAATTCATATATGAATACTCGATCTACATTTATGGATTTTTTTTTTTGTGTATTCTGAGAACATTTAGAACTTTTAATTAAAAATAAACAGAATTTTGTAATAAAAATAATCTAGAAACAAATTTGATTAGCTTAATATATGCATATATTTATACATACATATACATAAAATGTATATAGGGAGTATAATATGCAAATGCATCATGATATTTTCAATATTTCATATTAAACAAAAAAAAAATATTAATATAATTGATGACTTAACAACTTTCAGCAATTTTAAAATTATAAATACATGCTTATACATATCTGCATACACATATGCATAAATGATTGCGTATATTAATTTAAAAAAAAAAAGTTCTCATTGTATCTATGATTTTTCAAAAATTAAAATACCCAAACACATACATATATTCGCGTATATTGAAATTATTATATAAAATAGGATAAAAATCAATATTAATTGTTTTATGTTTTGAAGAACAAATTGA